GAGAAACTGGACTCAGTCCCCTACTTCGAAATTTTCACAATGAGGGAACGCAGGCGCGGAACCTGTCAAAATAAATAGCCGACGCGACGCGAAACGAGTGTTTCCTTTTATTCACTTCGTCAATTTTATATAAAAAAAACAATAACCAATCATTAAAAAAAAAAGAAAAATATGTTAAATGCACTCTTTATATATTCATATTCATTAATTCACAAGTTTTATTCTTCCCACATCTTCATACTTACAATTAACAACTAAATACATCGGAAAATCTTACAATCATACGGGATTGAACACCTACCTAACCATACAACTAAATATACGCATAATTATAAATCGCACGCTTTTACATTAAGCCTCTCGGCTACGCAATCGATGGGGGAAATTTCCTATTTAAGAAACATCCCTTACCAATGAAATAAATTAGATCATGCGTGGATTTTACTTTGTAATTAATGTAAGTATGGATGTCAACAATATTCATAATATTGAATAAATAATATTGTCAACTAGTTTAAATTTGATACGCGGTTATTAGAATTTAATAATAAATAAATAAAAAACATTAATTTTTTCTTAATAACCTTGAAACCTTTTTTAAGTTTGACACTTTTCATGGTAAATTTGATTATTCTTTTTTTTCCGTGTACAAAATAGTGAATTGACCTTGAATGAAATGTATAATTAATTATTCTCACAGCAATATTTAATAATTTAATGAACTTAACTGCACTGCATAATAGTTGAGAGTAGTAAGAGTAAGTGAAACGGTAAGATAAGTGAACGACCATTAGTGTGGGAGAAAGAGAATAACTTGTGGTTTTCGAGTAGGTATCTACTTTATGTGCACGGCGTTCATTTTTCGAAAGAACTGGACTGAGTACTATTTGTTCAATATTCGCTTCTATTATTGACTTGTGTTTTGTACACTGCCGCGTTCTTTTAACAATTACATGAGAAAGTAATTTCTCATTCCAATTTTTTATACTCTTATTCCCTCTTAGACTATATAAACAGTCTTGTTTAAGCTGATGAATGGGATAACTTGTGTTGAGTCCCAAACTGTTCAGCTATGAAACTTCTAATACTATAGTGTGTACCTGTCACATATTATTCTATAAAGGAGTACTACACTGACTGCATAAATCATTTTTCCATTTTTCTCCGTGTTCTATTATAAAAATTGTTCTTTTAACTTAACAAAAGTTCTCATTTTTCAAATTGGTATAATTATTGAATTAATTATACAGCAAAAGTAGGTAAATAAATCAAAACATTCGGACCATTCTTTTAACATTATTTAATATATTTATTTAATGTATATTTATAATATATTAATTTAATATATGTATATTTACTTGTAATTATTTAATATAGTTAATTAATAATAAATTTTGTTTCATAATATTAGTAACTTGCTATACCAGTCAGTACTTATTATGAGAAGTATTTGCATTATAATTGAAATACAGTTATATTTAAATTATTATTAATCATTAATAGAATAATTTCTTACTATAATGATTATTAATAATTTAAATTTAAAATTTATAAAAATTTCAATATTGCATTAGTAATTCATTATTATTATAAATTATAATGTTAAATTAAATTAATATTAAATACTAAATTCATTTTAAATGCAGATGTAATAATAATTATTATTAATCTGTATTCGTATTATAGTTTATGAAACATTCCAAATTGTAAAGTTAAGACTTAATTTATTATTGATTCAATTAATAATGTTAATTTTTATTAATTCACATAACCTATTATGACTAAATTGAAATATAATTAATTAATAAAAATTATTTAACAGTTTATTCTAATTTATTGATAATATTGGTAATTGAATTTTACTATTTTACAGTTGCTCTTTATATGGACAGTTGAATCCAGAAATATGTAAGTCGGTTCGGTAGTCGCAGTCGTTAGGGCAGTTAGTTTAGGCACTAGGTTAGGTCATGCGTCGGGGTTCGATCCCCGTAGGGTCCAAATTTTAATTTAATTCCGGGAATTAGTTTCAAGTTGTTCCGTATGTAAACAAACTGATATTAATTAATAAAATATATTTTTTAAAATTAATTTGTTGCAACTTTTTGCATATTCTTTAAATAAATAAAACAGAAGTGGCTGACGAGATCCATCCAGAATCGTAAGAAAACTGGATTAAAGTAGTCAGGCGGCCTGACCATTTGTCTGACCATTCCTGATTTTATTTTTAGTAGGGATACCTTGGTTAACGTTTATGTGATGATATTAAAGGAAATTAAAATTTTTTTATTTTTATACTCTTATTGGGAATTCAAAACTCAGGACAAAAAAGGAATTAAAAGTAATTCAAGTTTTTCAATACTTTCTAATGCAAGCCTTTTTACCGGGCATATTGGTTTATGACGCCTAAAGATTGATGCTGAGTACGACTGCTAGCTTCAGCCGGATAATCAAAACATATAGAAACACATCAAAATCTATTTTTTCAGTGCACATTTAAAATTAAATTATACAAGAAACAACAACAACATAACACATTATTATTCACATAAAACAGAAACCACAACAAGTACTAAAATTCACAAACAAAATAATGCACCACACGCTGACTGATCTAACGACGCGACGCCATGTTACTTAACACCTGGGTATAGATCGCCGCATGCGCGTATAACATCCTAGACCAAATCTAGACTTAGATTTTTTCTAATAAGCCCATCTGTTAAGTCCGTACTAGACGGACTTGATGATTGCTAATCAGGAAATCATTGGACTCTAGACTGCCACAATATTTTTCCACACGGGCTATATTACAAAAATATATCGCCGCACAGTGGTCGGAAGGAGCTGTTTTGTCAGAAAAAAGCATTTTTTCAAGTTTTGAAAAATACAGTTACTATAAAATAGTCCCCCTCAAAGAACCCCTCAAAGAACTTTAATTTGAAATTAAATGTTATTTTACCCAAAAATTAGACGTTCTTTCATTAATATAGCATTAAAGTCATGTGAAATGAATGTACTATATAAGTGTCAAAACTGTTCCTTCTTTCTACTGATTTACTTTTTTTAATCTTGAAAATTTTCATATATTATAAATAGAGTTTATCATTCCATTATTTAATTATACAAAAATGCATATATAAATATACCTCATATTATTTTGTTTTTATTCTATTTTACATTTCTAATCTAACAACCAAGATCAAGCTGGATTTTCCTCAAGAGAGGAAAGTAAGCACCTAGGTTATAAAAAACCCATTGTACCAGACTCAAGCTCGCTCGTTTATAGCAACCCCTTAGAGTCCGGTTCTTCTCCAGAAGTCCAGTATCTCTTCTATCGATAGGTTGCTCACCTGCTTAGGGTCAATAATTGCTTGACCCCAGCTAGATAGCCTGATCCCAGCTAACGCTGGGCATTCTGATAATATGTAAGTCGAAGTTTCGTTACTCTCCCCACACAGTCTGCACATAGGTGAAACTTGTCTGCCTATTTTATGCTGATGGTAATTCAATAGCCCATGACCCGTAAGTAGACAAACTACGGTTCTAACTCTGATCTTATCAAGTTTTAGGAGATCGCTCGCTCGCCTCTTGTTGAGTGCTAGCCCCAACAGAGTTTTCGCTTGCCTTCACACCCCAACGTTCGCCCAATACTGCTCATGATCCTTTTGACCCAATATTTCTATGGCTCCCTTAAACAAGCACGGCATTATTGCCACTGCTGGTTCAGGACCTATAAATTCCGTCTTGGAACCGATTTTCGCCAAGACGTCTTCTCTTTCATTACCCTTGATTCCCGAGTGACCCGGTACCCAAATCAATGAAAGTTTATTTGCTGAACCCAACTCATCTAGTACGCTGCGGCATTCCCAGACGAGTTTTGATTCTATTGTGGGATTTCTCAGAGCCCCTAAGGCCGCCTGTCTATCCACACAAATACTAATCCTCTTGCCCTTTGTTCCATTTCGAATGGATATTTGGGCGCAAGTTAAAATCGCACAGACCTCTGTCTGCCAGACCGTGGCATATTGTCCTAGTGACTCAGCCACTTTAATGCAGCCAGTCTTTCGATAAATTCCGAAGCCTGCACCGCAGTCCATCTTGAAGCCGTCTGTATACCAGACTTCGTCCCCAAGTGGAAAACCTTTCTTCCAGTCCATTCTGGAAGGTGTAATGATCTTAAAGCGGGGTTTAAATTTCACCCTCTTGATCATTCTATCTTGCACCATACTTAATTCTGGGATTGATAGAATTAAGCGTGGAAGCTTGGTGTGTATACCACCAAACTTCCACCTTACCTGCACGGTTAACCTGCTCATAGTAAGTGCCGCCTTTTTTACCGCGACAATATGCAGAGGTACTTCGGCTAGCATGAATCCCAACGCTGCTGTTGGCGTGGTCCTCATAGCCCCCGTAATACCCCTGAAAATCATTGCTTGCAGTTGGTCCAGTTTCTCTTTAACCGTTATCAGTTGAGTCCTAGACCACTAAACAACCACCGCGTGAAGAAACCTGGGTTTTACGATCATCTGATAGGGCCAGTTGACCATATTAGGCCTTAGTCCCCACGATAACCCTATCGCCCTTCTACACGCCCAAAAAGCAGTACAGAACCTTCTATACTGATATTCGAAATGTTCCATCCAAATCAACTTTTTATCCAGGATTACTCCCAGATACTTAGCTGATTCAGAAAAAGAAATTTCTTTTCCATAAAATATCGGTTTCTTCAAACTCGGTACTTTATATTTTCTTGTAAAAACTACTATATTCGTTTTCTCTGGGTTTACAGAAAGTCCAGTTAGATTGCACCAATCCTTGACAATCTTAAGTGCACGTCCCGTAAGTTCTAAGAGGGTCTCAATTGATTGCCCTCTTATAATTATAAGGAAATCATCCGCATAACTTTGCATGCTGTCCCAGATGTAGGGGATGATCTCTAAGACATTCTTGTCTAATAAAATTATCCACCAGTTTCTCTAACGTCTTTAATATAAAAGAAGTTAAGCTGATTGGCCTGAAGTCCTTCGCCGCAGTATACCCTGACCGTCCCCCCCTAAAGCCTTAAATGGTTTAAAAGTGATTATTGCCCAATCAATCCCTTCCGGAGTTACGACCTTGGCTGCTAGTTTCCAGTGTTCCAGATATCCTCGGTTCCTACCTGGTCCTATGCCATGGCTGTTCTCCGAACCTTGTCTAAAGTCCGGGAAGTTTACTTCCATCAGGTGCTTTATACACTCCCTTTTATCCTGGGCATACTGCCCATTAGGCAGCTTAAAAGTAGTTAATTTTGCCATTGGGTCTCGAGCTAGTACTTTATGAAGTCTTGATGCTTCTGGTACCCTCTCGATTCCCTCACAAAAACTTCTCCAGCTGACACCCCTTGCCCTCTCTACTTCTTTCTTGTAAGAATCGCGAGCGGTATGATATTCATTCCATGCTCGCTGATGCCTACGTTTCTTGGCTTTATTTAAAAGCTTTCTTACCGTTTTTCTATGTTCCTCCAAACGGGGGGTCCACCATTTACTACCCCCATTGAAGCCCATTTTCTTAACTACACAATTTCTTTCAAAGGGGCAGATAATAGAATCTCGCAGATATTCCGCTGCAAGCCTTAACTCTTTCCTCGTTCTATACGAAGTGGGGAAGCATGCCATGGAGGCCTTGAGGTCTTCTCTATATGAAGCCCAGTCAGTACTCCTAGAATTACGTCCCCACTCATGTTCCCGATCCTTCGATTCCAATCTAAACGTAACAAGCCTGTGGTCCGAGAGGGAATCTTCATCAGACACCCTCCAGTCCCTCACGCCATCACACAAAGACTTGGAACAGATCGTAATATCCAACATCTCTTTTCTGTTAACAGTAACGAAAGTCGGCTCATTACCCTGATTTAAAATATCTAAATCTGTAACTAACAGAAAATCTAAAAGTCTTCTGCCTCTGTCGTTAATGTCAGAGCGGGGTCATCCCCCGATCCGAACTAAGTCCCTGGTAGTTAATTCCAATAGAGGGAAAGCGTCTAGACCTTTATGGATCAGGCAAGCCCTTGGAACTGGTTCCTGTGGTGAACTAACTAGCACCCCACAGCCACTTCGAACTCTAATGAGCCACTTCGCCTTTACAATGATGCAAGTTAATCTGCATACAGTGGATCCCGGAAGCAGCCATATTTAAGTCTGACTCACGGTCCACTCTGTCACGTCCACACCTTGATCGCCAGCATCGTGATCCCCCAAAAAGGGCTCTTCGACGCTCACGTGTGTGGTTTTATTTTTATTAATTTCTGTAGTATCAATTATAGTCTCACGAGAAAAGAGGAAAGAAAGGTCAATCCTTAAAGAACCTCTATTTAAGCAAAAGGCTAAATTACATCTGAGAGTTCGCCTGGTATCTCAGAGTCTCGTTCAAGATACCTCCATTCGAGCCCCACCCCGGGGACGGGTCGTCCAGAAGACGGGCCCTTCCTGTAACACAATCGTTTCCGAGCTTTACAGTTAATTGTGCCCAGCGATGGTCGTCCCCCGTCCAACCCCTCCCCACGGAAGAACCCGACGGATTTGGTAACCCTGGTATTATTCAGCCATGGACACGAGTTCATCACGGATTGAGTGTCAAAGACTCGCGCCTCAATCGCCATGATACAGCCAACGTAACCACGGAAGGGTTTCTTCTTGGTCAGACTTCCACCAGGAGGAAGTCTTCGGAATGGACTCGCGGTTAAGCCTCTGTCCATCCCGTCTCTCTCGATATCCCTCTAAATCCCCGTGCCCTGGGACACTGCCCAGCGAAACACAGAAGATTCAGTTTCTGTAGCGGCCGACCCATTTTGAAGGGTTCGCCCCCTCAGTCCCCACGAGAGATATCGAGAAGTAGCCTCCCACTGGGTAAAAGTCCCTCGTGCGCCTCCCACCAACGGCAAGGTCTTGAAACCCCTAGAGAGGGTATTGGGACGTTTGACATAATCTTTTTTTCATCCGCCGAATACGGTCTTATTTTAGCATTAAAATTAAAATCATATGATCAGAGTACACATTATAAATTGAAAGCACAATTGTCCTGGAATGTAAAAATGCCGATTTCGATAAGAAACAGTGAATATTTGTTAAAAATTGGTAAAAGCAAAGTTTGACAAGCGCGACTGAATTTACCATGTGAATAAATGAAGTGGTAAGTTTAAAAGGACTAAAAGAAATCTACTGTTACCGACAGAAAGTTCCTAGAAAATTGTGGTAAATTCAAATGGAGAAAACAAAACAATTAAATTTCATTGTTAAAAAAAACCACAATTTTCTAGGAACTTTCTGTCGGTAATAGTATATTTCTTTTAGTCCATTTAAACTTACCACTTCATTTATTCACATGGTAAAGTCAGTCGCGCTTGTCAAACTTTGCTTTTACCAATTTTTAACAAATATTCACTGTTTCTTATCGAAATCGGCATTTTTACATTCCAGGACAATTGTGCTTTCAATTCATAATGTGTACTCTGCTCATATGATTTTAATTTTAATGCTAAAATAAGACCGTATTCGGCGGATGAAAAAAAGATTGAGTCAAACGTCCCAATACGGTTTTTACTCGAATCCGTATTGGCTCAGGGCTTTACTCAATTCCTAAACGCTTCACTCAATACTTTTTTTACTGGGATAATAAGGAAGCAGTTTCATTAACAAAAGAAGAGGAGATACTTTAAAACAATCAGTCTTCTCGATTAGAATTCCAAATCGGGTCAATAAACGTTAGTTCAAAAAATTTAATAGGACTGGATTCATGATAAGAAAATAGAATAAGCCGTAACCCCTCAAAACGGTTATTTTTCTTGAAACCGCGTATTGCACTAAGAAAACGATTTATTTAATTCAAACAAAATTTTTGGTTAAATCAAACATAAAATATCTTTGAATATACATATATGTTGCTGATGCAAGCTTTTTACTTATTTCAGTGACAGTAATGTTGACAATTAATTAGATTAATGCGATTAATGATTTTATATAACCTATAATATTGACGATTTTTAAAATTATTTTTATGAAAACAAGAGATGGACTACATTATTTATAAATATTGTGAAAATAAATTCTAAAATAAGAAGATGAAAAAATATATAATTTTAACTTCTTAATCATAGATAACATATTGTTGCCTGTTATAGCTTTACATTCACATCCACAATTCAGCGTCAACCATGATCCTTGTTACTATAACCAGAAATTAAATTTATATTAACCATGTTTTATCGTCAAGACAACCACGTTCAGTCATGTTCGAACAACTTAAAGTAGTAGGGAAGAGTGGGGCAAACCGGCCAGGTGTCAATATTTCCGAAATGGCGAAATTGTCAAAAGTGCTATTTAGAAATTTGAATCAACCATGTATAGTATACCTTATTTTTTCAATTTGACATTTTTTACTTTTGTTTATGCAACGCTGAGAGCAAAAGTTTTTTCTGAACTTTTACGAATTTCTTCTTAAGGAAATTCTGAGGAAATCGTGCAATATTTCCAAATATTAGGTCTTAGGTTTTGAAGGTACACACCTCAGGAATATTTACCACCAAAAACTTTGATGAATTTGCAAAGCGTTTTTTAAACAAATATTTATTCTCAAAATGAGCCTGTGGCGCAAACCGGCCCCGGCCATAGGATATTTTCATTGTATCAGAGTTTGAAGAAAATTATTATGCGGGGCAAACCGGCCAGTTTGCAAATTTTTTTAAAGTTAACACAGCAACTAAACAATAAAGTATATGTGTCTCTGGGAAAAAGTTGCGCAATTAAATGATCTTTCAAACAAGCCATCGAAAAATGAAATCGATTGATTCTTTTAATCACAAAAGTAAAAAAACCGTTAGTATGGCCGGTTTGCCCCACTCTCCCCTATTTAAAGACGTTTTTCACCACGAAAACCTGGTTGTATGATCTTTTGAGCCCGATTTTGAAATTTTTGTTTTTAAACATTTTTTTAATAACAATAATTATTAAAAAAATCATAAAATGGTAAAAACTATATTTTTTAGTTTCATTATTTAAGAAAATTAATCAAAAACCCTATTAAAATAATGTTAGAGTGCTTTTTTGGTGTATTAAAAAAATATAACAATTTATTAAATTGTTTAAACAATTAGTTGTTGTTATTTTTTTCATTAACTGTACTTAGGGCTAGAAATTTTTAGTTTTTTCTTTACTGTGAAATTTGTCATAAGTAAAACATCTACTATCTACCCGTGCAAAATTATGACCAGAGCCAGACCGGGGCCACTTTGGGAAATCTGGCCTACCCCTAGCCTGGATGAAACAGTAAAACCGGCCGAGGCCATGCCTCGGGCCCGATCTGGTTCTTTGCTGAGGACCCGACCGGGGCCATGGAATTTTTTCCCGATTTGACCGCCACTAAAATTTTTGTGGTAGGATAAACCAAATAGTAGTCGGCCACCAAACAGAAGTCATCCGCATAACAATTTAGAGTAAAATTAAACAAAAATTAAACTTTTTGAACAATCTGTCGACTTTGTTTAAAAATGTGGTAAGCTATATAGTAATTTATAATTTTCTCAACAATTTTAGCAAAAACCACTCCAAATTATTAAGTGTCCTACTACTGCCCCATAATCTAACATTAATGATATAAAATCATTAATATTAATAAGTTTATCTAATTTTTATTTAAAGACTTTTACATAAAATATGAACCATTTATTTAGAATGTTGGAAAAAGCGATCTCCAAAAGGACATGTCAATTAAAAATTTTTCAATTTGGCGTTTCGGAACTGGATCCAGTTCCCTCTTCAGAATTTATTATATTTTACAACATATCATGTTATAACATAAAAATTGATTTTTTCAAGTTAAAAGAATTTATTTGAGGTTATAACACATAATATTAGGTTTCATATTGTAAAGTAAAATTTAAATTTTTCTTTACTAAATTTGTAAAATAGAACTAAAAATTGTTCTTTTTTTGATGTTTTTTTTAAATATTAAATAAACTAAAAAAATGTTATATAAAGTTCACTTTTTGTCATGTGGAGATTAAAGGCAATTTTTTGCCTTTAATCATGGCTTTATATAACATTTTTTTAGTTTATTTAATATTTTAAAAAAAAAAACATCAAAAAAAGAACAATTTTTAGTTTTATTTTACAAATTTAGTAAAGCAAAATTTAAATTTTACATTACAATATGAAACCTAATATTATATGTTATAACTTCAAATAAATTCTTTTAATTTGAAAAAATCAATTTTTATGTTACGGTTTACGAAAAAAAATATCGACAATTAATTGTTAAACCAATTTAATAAATCAATTATTTTTTATTATTAGTAGATGTTGTACTTCTGAAAAATTGCAAAATTAAGAAAAAACTTGAAATTCCTAGCCCTAAGTACAGTTTATGAAAATATAACAACAATTAATTGTTTAAACAATGTAAGGCTTTCTAAAGTGTACCAATGGTTTTCGAAGGGTAATTTAATTTTATTTAAACTCAATATTTAAGAAGTAAATAATGATAAAAACAACACTTGCAAATAGTTTTTTTTTAAATTGTTTTTTAAAAAGTTATTAACAATTTAATTTTTTAAGACCTTTTTCGAAAAAAATGAATTACTTGAAAACTAATTGATAGAATTCGATAAAATTTGGACAACTTCATTAAAAAATCTCACTTTTAAAAACACTAATTCTACTTTCAAATTATCATGCAATTTGTTTAAATAATAAAAAAATTGTTATAAACAAATTAAAATTTAAGCCTGTTCTTAATGAGATAATTAAATTTTCTTTCTAGCATTTTATTCTAAGTAGAATTTGAAAGTATTACCAAAAAAAAGTTTTAGGGCCCG